CATTTTTAATTACCTATCGAATGGTATTAGGATGTTAATAGCTAAGTTTCTGCCTTTTTACAAAATACGTCAAATAGGCGTTCTGTGCACCATTTGGTGTTGTTTATTTTAAGGTTCCAATGTATCTAAGTTGCCTATGCCATTTACACATCTCAAATCATTTAATTTATTTGTCAGTTTAGACTGAAACGTTTCTTTTTTATAGCTAGAGTGGTATTGGTTTTTGTAATTGTAGAGGTGTTGGTTATTATTTTAATATTACTATTGTGTTGCTAAGTGAAAATGAAGAATAATCTAAGAGAATCGCGTATTGACATGATTTTCACCTTTGGAGAATGTCATAAAAATTGTTTATTGGCTTCTCGAGTTTATGCTCAAAAGTTTCCGGAAAGAAATGATCCTAAGCCAACAGTTTTTAAGCGCTTAATACACCAATTTGAGGAAACTGGGAGTGTCAATTATAAAAAACCCATTACAAGGAAATTGGTCACTCAAGATGAAGAAAATGTTTTCGCCGTAATTGGTTCAGTTATCGGAAATCCCAATGTTAGTCAAAATATAATATCCTAACTGACTAAAGTACTAACATTAATCAATCAAGTATTTCCAGAATTATCAAAAAGCACAACTTTTATCCTTATAAAATTTAGCTTTGCCAAGAACTTTATGGAAATGATTTTGAAAACCCAACTTTTTGCATGTGGGTGTTAGATAAAGTGGCATGAAAATGAAACGTTTTTCGAAAATGTGTTATTTAGTGATGAATGTACTTTTCATAACAATGTTCTCGTGAATAGGCACAACTTTAATTATTATTCTGATACGAATCCGCGCGCATACAGGGTGATGAAAAATCAAAATACGTGGTCAGTTAATGTGTGGGGTGGAATACTAGGCCAATATTTAATTGGACCCTATTTTTTTGAAGGACATCTAAATGGTTTGATGTTTCTCCAGTTTCTAATAAGCCATCTCTCAATATTATTAGAAGAAGTCCCTTTCAATATTAGAACCAACATGCGGCTTCAATTGGATGGAGCTCCGCCTCATTATCACTGCGAAG